TCGTTATTTGTGTTGAAAAGCATTAATACCAAGTTTCACGTAAATATTTACAACAGAAATGGTTAGGAAATAGTCTTCCTGTACAAACTTTACCACCCCTTTTCACCCTTTTAGGGGTGGAATTTCCCAAGTTCCTTTCTTAGTGGGTGTTTACATCACAAAAGCAAACTATTGTCCAAATTTCATGTTTCTAGCTGCAGTAGTTTAGGCTCTGCGTTGATGAATCAGTCAGTCAGGACAAACAATTTTATATGTATAGATTATTAGAGAATGTGTTCAAAAATTTCGGTTGGCCAGCCATAATTTGACATTATTTTGTCAACTTGTCAAAACAATTTTCAAGCACTGTAGGAAAAAAATGTCGTATTCAAATGAAGAATATTTGGAAATGATGTTAATTTATGGAGAGTGCAATCGCAATGCAGCCGCTGCTGTACGCGAATATACAGGTATTTCCCCAATCGTCGGCACCCAGACCAACATGTGTTTCACCGATTGTTACATCGAGCAAGAGAAGATGGATCTTTTCAGCCTAGTCGGAAAGGCCGCGCTGGAGCTCCACGGAATGTACGTGTAGGTGCTGAAGAGCAAGTGTTAGAAAACTTGGAAGCGGATCCTAGGAGAAGTGTCCGCTGCGTAGCGCAAATGAGTGGATTATGAATCTAAAATATTTTTGACAATTTGTCTTCAAATAACTGAAAACTGCGGGGAAAATGTTCAAAAAATTCCCCAAAATTTCCAAAAAATTTGAAACAGTTCCAAATGGCTTTGAGAGGAAAACACTGAGTTTCTAGTTTTATTAATCGCAAATTTATCTTATAAAATCCTAGCCCCGCCTACCCACCCTCCATTTTCTTACAAGATATGTGATTTGCCAAAATCCGTCTTACCTCAGCAAATACTAACCCCACCCACCCGCTCTCTATTTTCTTGGAAGGTATGTGATTTGCCAATTTCAGTCTTATCTTAAGTACTATATTCAATATTGAAATGGCTAAATAAATTATTAAATAATAATTAAATAGTACTTGCTAAGATAAAACTGATTTTGGCATATCAAATACCTTCCAAGAAAACAGAGAGCGGGTGGGCGGGGCTAGTACTTGCTAAGATAGGACTGATTTTGGAAAATCACATACCTTCCAAGAAAATAGAGGGTGGGTGGGCGGGGCGGGTATTTGATAAGATAATACTAATTTTCGCACTTTTGAATTTCCGACTATGTTTCAACTATTTCCGAAAATTAGCGAGAAAAGTGAGAAACATTTTTCGTAATTTCCAAAATTTTTTTGTTTGAAACAGTTAAAAGACGATCTGTTTCAACGGAAAATAGTTGACTTATAGATAATTTTTCGTGGATTACGAATCTAAAATATTTTTGACAATTTGTCTTCAAATAACTGAGAACTGCGAGGAAAAATGTTCAAAAAATCCCCAAAATTTCCAAAAAATTTGAAACCGTTCCAAATGGCTTTGAGAGGAAAACACTGAGTTTCTAGTTTTATAGGGTATTAATCGCAAATTTATCTTATGAAATCCTAGCCCCGTCCACCCACCCTTTGTTTTCTTAAAGACTATGTCATTTGCCAAAAATAGTCTTATTTTAGCAAGTACTAGCCCCGCCATCGTCTCTCTATTTTCTTAGAGGTTCTGCTATTTGCGAAAATCAGTTTTTTTCTTAGCAAATACTAGCCCCGCCCACCCACCCTCTACTGTCTTAGAAGATACGTTATTTGCCAAAATCCGTCTTACCTTAGCAAGTACTAGCCCCGCCCACCCGCCCTCTATTTCCTTGGAAGTTATGTGATTTGCCAAAATCAGTCTTATCTTAGCAAGTACAATAAATTATCAAACAATAATAATTAAATAGTACTTGCTAAGATAAAACTGATTTTGGCATGTCACATACCTTCCAAGCAAATAGAGGGCGGGTGGGCGGGGCTAGTACTTTCTAAGATAAGACTAATTTTGGTAAATCACGGACGAATTTTCATAGTCTCTGTAACGCTTTTAAAACTTGTTGATTAAATTGTTAAATTAAGTTTTTTAAAAAATATTGTGACTAATAAAACTATTAGCAATAGAAATGCTGGAACTTTTGCGTTTTGACAGTGATCTTCGTCACCTCATAGTAAGGATGCAGATTTTTGTCTGTAAGGATACGATGCATGATCGATCTTGAGCATCCATTCATTTGTGCCACTTGTTCTTCACCGTCTACGCGTATAATCCGTGGAGACCCAGGAAGGCCTTTCCGAATAGGCTGAAAAGATCCATCTTCTTCTGCTGGATGCAACAAACGACGAAACACATGCTGCTCAAAGAGCCGATGATTGGGGAAAAGACCGGTATATTCTTGCACAGCAGTGGCTGCAGAGCGTTTACGTTCTCCATAAATTAACATCATTTCCAAATATTCTTTATACTAGTATGAATAAGACATCAATAACTTAGTGGTATTGGTACTGATTTGTTTATAGTTTGTATTGTTCTTAAAAAAAAATGCAACTAAACCGTTTTTGTTATAATTTTTATTTGTATCTTTTCAATCTCTAGAAAGTACCCACAACTTTAAAGAAACTGTTTTAAATCATCATGTGCAACATCAATATTATTCTTGAATAAGTCTCGGTTTTCAGTATCTCCCCCACATGATTGACACCACAGCACATACCTATGATTTCAATACACCAGAGAAGTGGAGTCTCGTCTCTTTTTTCGTTGCTTAGATTCGGTATCAGCAACAAAGCTGTTCAGTAAAAATTGATACCGTTTACTGAAAATCATAAGCACCGATTAATCAAAAGCGATATTTATGTTTTAGTACACTTAATAACGTTCTTTGAATGGACATGTGGTACTCTTTTTTAGAAATAACGATAAACTTAATATCAGGGATATGATGCATTTCAAAATGCACTAATTTTCGTTAAAAAGAACAACACATTATTCACGGGGCTCTAAGAAAATGAGTTCTAATACCTGCTCTTCGGTATCTACACTATGTAGAATAGTAATAAATGTATTATTTGCCTACGATGAAATGAAACAGCTTCTCTTATGACATGTACAGCCCAGTTAAACACAATTTAACTAGAATGGCAACAGAAATAACTTCTGTCTCATGTTACTTGCCTTAAAGTAAACCTTGACGTCTCTGTGTACATTAATCAGTCATCTTTGGCGCAGAAGCGTCTCTTCAGGTCAGTGATGTACTTCGTGACAGTTTATGACAAACAATTGTCAAAATGATTAAATTTATAACCACACTTCTGTTTCCTTTTGTTGACGGAGGGGGATTCGGAAAAAATTCATTCAACTTTAGTATTACCCGATTTTTTGTTCTTGGCATAGGTAACTTTGAACATAGAAACGTTCGGATATAAAAGCAGCCTCTCTATTGGTCAACTTAATCACCTTCCAGTTCTCACACGGTTAAAGCCTGGACAATTCTTTTTGCGAATTACGGCACAGTTTGGGACAGGGAACATGTCATTCACGGGAATGGCGCGAATTCTGGGACACCCTGTATAGTATTGTGGCGCCCTGTCACTAATAACCCTTCGTGGTTTATATGACATTAAATATTGTTACGAAATAAAGCCATACGCCGCCCTAGTACGATGTCTATGGGTTCTACTTATACACATCGCCGATGACTCATTGTCGGTGACGGCGGCCGGAGAAGAGCTTAGAAGCGAAAGTCACGAATGGGTGCTCCGGACAAGTCTAGAAGCGGTGACGTAGGCGTTTCGAGAAGGACCGAAATGGGAACCACCGTGGGGTGCAGTTAGTGTAGTCCAGACAACGAGAGCTGAATTCAGTTAACAAGTCGAGTCCAACGAGTGTCGAGAAAGTCCAATGAATGTTGCGCCGGAGTTATTTTGTACATAATCGCTCTGTAATTAGTTGTGTAACTCCAAGTTAGTAAGAAATAAATTGTTGAGTTTTACCCGCGTCGATTTTAATCAACGTGTAAACCGGGCCTAGCCAGACCGGTGTGGATCCCAACAATATTGGTATGTGTATAAACAAAACAATAAATTACTTTTACCTTTTTTGGAGAAAGAGAAATACAGTTTAATGCCATAACGTTAAAAAAGTTGATAAAAATATATGACTTATTTTTATCAACTTTTTTAGGTGTTCGCCAATTATAACAAAGTTATTTATTTTGGAATAGTTGTCGTCCAAAACGTACATATTTTGTACGTTGTCGTCTCTGTTCGAAACAGCAATGTTTTCTATATCTTATGCAATGGTATTCTTAAATGTAGCGTCTGTTATGTCCACGACTTCTCGTCTTTCTTCCCATGCACTGTAGCACTTTCCTGGACTTAATGCTTAGTAATTCTGTCTATTCTACGATTATTTCGTTGTTATTGTTTCAGTTTTTTTTGTCAACAGGACAAGGAATTAATATCTGAAAATGCTTTCTTAAGATTTCCATTAAACATCAAGTGGTACTTATTCAATCTCAACGAAAAGTATCCGCCTGGAACAGTAAAATTATAAAAAACAAAAATGTTTAATTCCACAAACATATTTTACGGTACAAATTTCATTCAGATTTCTAGATTATATTTTATAAGTTCTGGTGACCTTGTTATCGATCGTCTTTTTTGATGACAATTTAGGGGAATCAAAAACAAGTCTATAGGACAGCGCATAATGTAAACACATTACATTTACCTACAAACATTACTAAAATATAGACGATAGTTTTTGTTAAATACCTACCTATTAAGAATTTAATTGCACATCCAAAATTTGGTGTTGGATAGCCAACACACTGCAACGTCTGTCTGTGCGAACAATCAACTACTAAACATTTTACGTATTTTTTATTACACGACTATAATGGTGTTCAACAACCTTGCATATCATTTAAATATTAATTCCTTAATTGTAATAACAATGTGTTCTACATTATTAACAAATTACCAAGTGCCACAATACGTTCGCAAATAATTGAATTAATTTTTGAAACAATTGTATTCATGTTACCAAAAAGTAAGAAAAAGTTAGTATTGGTTAATCAAGAGAAAAATGTGCATCCCAAAGATAAGGCTAATTCTCTTTCTCATTTTTTCTTTTGGTATGTAATGTTGGTTTCTGTTTTGAATATGAACTCTGAAAGCGTGTTTGAGGTGGCAGATACCGTTAGTGATAAAAAACTGGAGAAATCAAGTAAAAGAAGACGAATACGTCGTTGTTGCAAGAGAGCACGAGTCGAAAAAGTTAGGAGACCAAGTTGAAAAATTTTGGAATGAAGAACAGATTTCAGGGAAAAGAGCGTCACTTACAAAAGCGTTATTTAAGAGTTTCGGAACCGAATTTATCCTGTGTGGCTTAATTTACTTTCCATTTGACATGGCAGCTACGTATATCAATATCACAGTATTGCTAACATCTTCATTTAAATATAACATTTTTAGTGTACTTCAACCACTATATCTAGGAAAACTCTTAAACTATTTTACTGTGAACGAAACACCTGTCACTAAAGAGCAAGCATATTTCTATGGATTTATGATAATAGTGTCTATTTTGATTCGAGTACTAAGTTTTCAGCACTTTATCTTGGCCACTTTCTCCATTGGTCTGAAAGTGCGCACAGCCTGTTCCTCATTAATTTACAGGAAACTTCTAAGTTTGAAAAAAGCGACCATTCAGAAGGCTACTTTGGGGCATGTTATAATAAATTTGTTATCCAATGATGTGGACAAATTCGATAAAGCGTCTTGTTCCCTACATAACATCTGGAGTGGAATTTTAAAAGTAATTATTGCATCCTATTTTCTCTACATATGGTTTGGAAACCAAGTTCTCGCAGGAACAGGAACATTTGCCATATTCTTGTTACTACAATGTCAGTAAAACATCAAAATGTCCCTTAAATTATCCAATCAGTTTTAGTCTATATTTTTAAAATAACCGCATCCGCTAGAATGAACGTAGCTCTGAAAACCGACCATCGAATTCGCATCATGAATGACATAGTTGCTGGTATTCGAGCTGTGAAAATGTATACTTGGGAGTCTTCGTTTGCAAATTTAATAAACGTAGTTAGAAAGTATACGTTATAGTTAAATTAAGAAGTTTTCATTAAACAAGTGCTTCTAGATCAGAACTAAAGTACGTTGCTCAATCGAACAGCATTCAAAACACAAACTTCACCTTAGTATCGTATATGCACAAGCTGTCTGTCTATGTGTTCATCCTAGCAGTCGTACTTTCTGGATCTTTATTAACTCCACATAAAGTTTTCCTATCGATAAATATCTACGATTTACTGCGACAAACCCTTCAATACACCAGCGCCGGAATCAGCCAGATGTCAGAAATAAAAACTTCTATTCTAAGAATTCAAGAATTTTTGTTACTGGACGCCAACCAAAAAAGCAAAAAAACTATTCGTTTGGAGAGTGAACCGAAAATACCACAACGAGTACTTCTGAAAAATGTAGATGCCAAATGGGATTTGTCACTGGCGTCTACAGCTTTGACCGATGTTAACTTTGAACTAAACGTAGGCGAAATTGTTTCTATTATTGGTTCTGCTGGTAGCGGAAAGTCTACATTACTTCAAGTTATATTGAAAGAACTATCAGTTATTAGTGGAACTCTATACACAAAGGGATCTATATCGTATACATCGCAAGAACCGTGGATATTTCCAGCCACAATCAGACAAAACATTATATTTAGTGAAGAACCCAACGAAACGAAATATCACAAGGTTATAAAAGCCTGTGCTTTGGAGCGCGACATTTCTCTTTTTTCTTATGGCGACAATACGTTAGTTGGAGAGAGAGGAGTGATGCTCAGTGGAGGTCAAAAAGCTAGAGTCAATTTGGCTAGAGCGATTTACAAAGATGCTGATATTTACTTGCTTGATGATCCTCTATCAGCTGTTGATAAGTCCGTCGCAAATTATATCTTCACCAAATGCTTCCTAGAGTACTTACAAGGGAAAAGTGTCGTACTGGTTACTCACCAGATACAGTTTCTTAGGAACATGGACAAAATATACATTCTGGAAGAAGGAAAAGTAGCTTCTTGTGGAAAATATGACGAACTGGAAATACTAATGGGGCAATCTGTTCAAAAATATGAAAGAAGGCGATTAGACGTCGATGAAGAAAAGTTCCTAGAAACTGGTCACTTAGAATTTGAGATTAAAGAAGACAGTGGAAATTCAAACATTAACAGATACAAAACGTACTTTCTAGCTACTGGACACTGGATCTTCATGCTCATACAAATTCTGCTTTTCGTTTTAAACCAGATTTTTATAAATGGATCGGATGTATTCCTTTCCTTCTGGGTCAATTTCAGACAAGAAGGAATTATTAGTTCTACAATGTCAAAATATTTTACAGACTTAAATTGCTTATATATATACAAAGTGATAATGTTTTTTTTTGATATTCTTGTTTCATTTAAGTTCGTGGACATTTGTAATTTTCTGTAAAAGGGCTTCAGCTAACCTGCACGATTCATTTTTCCGTAGAATTTTAAACGGTTCTATGAATTTCTTCGATTGTCATTCTTCAGGAAGGATTCTAAATAGGTTTTCAAGAGACATGGGAATAATTGATGAGCTTATTCCCAGAAACATGTATTACATGCTAAAGCAAGGTATCACTGTGATAGGAGCTTGTGTTGTTTTGGTTGGTGTTAATTATTGGATTATAATTCCAACTATAATTCTGCAATTATTATTTTATTTACACCTGTTGGCATTCCATGCAGCCTTAAATCATTTCAAAAGAATATCGTCAACCAGTAAGTGGAATTTTTAGTACAACACAAATTTAATTTAACCGTTTTAGGTAGAAGTCCAATATTTACTCATGTTTCAACCAGTATACAGGGTTTAACGACAATCAAAGCACTAAAAGTTGAACAGCAATCTTTATCCAAATTTGACGATTACCAGAATGTTTACAATTCAGTTGAGTACATTCAGCGGGCTTTATATTTCGCCTACGCCTATTGGGTAGATTTTACTTGCTGTTTATACTCAACTGCAGTCATTTTCTATCAACTAATTCTTGTACAAGGTACCTCTCCATTTTGTCCGACCATGTGACTCACAAGACAAATTTTTAGATCCTTTAGTTGGAAATGTGGGTTTGTCTATCACGCAGTCACTTGTACTGCTTGGATGCGCTCAATACGCTCTAAAGTTCTATGGTGAACTCGACTCCCAAATGACTTCCGTGGAACGCGTCGTTGAGTACGCAGATCTGACACCCGAAGACAACAAAGGCGATTTCGTCCCTGCACCATCATGGCCCAGTCAAGGCTCCATTATATTAGATTCGGTTTCGATGCAGTATTCCGTAGACAAACCCTACGTCCTCAAAGGTATTAACCTAGATATCAAATCTGGCGAAAAAGTCGGTATTATAGGCAGAACTGGTTCCGGAAAGTCGTCCCTAATTTCTACCATTTTCCGATTATACGAGTTTGAAGGAACAATCATCGTCGACAACGTGGACATAAAATCAGTTCCACTTGAAGTTCTGAGTTCCAGGATATCGGTTATCCCTCAAGATCCTGTCTTCTTCTTGGGTACTTTACGGAAAAATTTAGACCCTTTTGATGAGTTTGATGATCAGCAGTTATGGAGTTGTTTAGAAGATGTCAATCTTAAGCTCCTAGTTACAAGTTTACCGTTAGGATTGGAGAGCCAGGTTTTAGAAGGTGGTGCGAATTTTAGTGTCGGACAGAGGCAAATGCTGTGTTTAGTTAGAGCTATGTTAAAGAATTCATAAATTGTGGTTCTTGATGAGGCTACAGCTAATGTTGATTTAGAAAGTGATAGTTTTATTCAGAGTACGATTAGGAGGAGGTTTAAAAATTCAACGGTACTAACTATTGCACATAGATTAGATTCTGTTATGGATTCAGATAAGATTGTTGTAATGGATGCAGGTGTTGTTGTAGAGTTTGGCACCAGGGAAGAACTTTTACAAAATCCGCATGGATACTTTTACAAATATGTCAATAACGCATAGGTTTTATTATTTATTTGCGATTATGAATAGGTAGGTAATTTAATTTTTGGAAAAACAACTTACTTACGTAGTTGTCGATAAACAAAAATAAGTTTATATTTACATAATTTTGTTTGTTGTTTACGTGTAATACTTAGTTTTCATTGTTATAGTCACTTAAATATCAACGCAAGTTCAACCCGTGAACGCATTGTTAGAAAAGTATTCCTTCTCCTAATTGCTTTTTTTAAAGTATCTCATATTAATTCTATAGGAATAAGCACACAGTAGTAAGGTGGTAAGGTAGGCGCAATTCTGTATGACCATTTTTCCTGGCAACTTCATCGACTACATATGAATTAGATAAGTCCAGGTCAATTACCACCTTTAATAATTCCTTTATCGTACTTTACTTTTAAGATTAGTTTTTAACATTTTAAAAGATAACAGAAAAAATGAGGGAAACATGATACAATATTTTGTAGAATGCAGATTCGAGATGATTGACTCATCTTAATAGATCTACTCCACTCTGATTGTTTGCGCAAGATGCAAACAAAGTTGCCATGGCAGAAGTCCACAATTAAAATATTAAAGAAGGAACCCACCTGATGAGTTAATTATTATAAAATCTAATTCATTTGTCTAGTACCTACAATGGACGGACATGGGTTAGTTGCACGCCATGGTCAAAAAACCTGTGGTCCTGATCTCCTAGGTCTGTTGTACGCAAACTACCTGAGAGGCAAGCGACTTCGATCGAAAAAATTATAACTTTAATAAGGATTAATAAGATAAACACATAGCACACCTATTTGTTAATCATTCGATTGCATGTATATTAAGAACCGAAAATATTTTTGTTACTCTTAAATTTTCTAGAAGATTTAACTTGAACACATCCCTCATATGTATATAAATAAACTTTCATCAAAACGCTGATGACTAGAACATTTTTCGAATTGTTTCGTCTTACTGTTGCTAAACTTATTTTGAAACTAACGGATTCGTAATGTAAGCGGCTAAAAGGACGATGCCGATTTCTTGTTATCAATTATGAACTTCTAAGTTATGATAACTCTTATAATTCTTTATTTGCGCGCAAGTGTCCTATGTTCCTTTTGTGAGAGTAGAACTTACTACGGGGGGTAAATTGACGGCCACGTGCGAGTGACCAACATCCTGTAATATACGAGTATATAATGTATAATCCGAGAAATCCCGCTTCTTTAAAAATTATAAAATTTCATTCATTTTTGATTTTGTGATTTCCATTTTGTGATAACTCTCCTAAAGTAAAACGAGCGGCATAAATAACACACCCACGGGTCCTGCGCCGTGTGAACACAAATTCTTGGAATTTGCGCTCCCAAGAACGGACAACGCAAAATATATTTAAAGCAACGGAAAAAATGTTCTCTCTGTACTAGGAACAAGCTTAGCATCAAGTGTTTGTGGCGATACATCAAAAGAATGCCACGTAGAAACTAGTTTGATTTGAATGAGTTTTCCATGATCGGAATCAATACATGATCGTTTTCCATGTTCGCCTCAATTTACACGGTTCCAACCCGGAAAACGATCATGTATTGATTCCAACCGTGCAAGCCTCCGAAGTTATTTCAGATTCGTATACCACAAGTACAATAGTATATTGTTGTATAGCATTTAAATCATTTTAAAATAGAATTATTTGAAATAACATCAAAGTTGTTGGTGGGGATGATTAGCCAAAGTTTGTTCAGCGTTTTATCATCTACATGGTATTCCTAACAAACGTACAAAATTTGACCTACTTGTTTCGGAAATTACGACACAGATGACAGATAGATGGACAGACAGCCATACAAAAAGACACATCTGCTGATGGACTCGATTACCAACGTTCAGGAAGTAAAGATTGGAGAAATGGTACAAAGGGAAGACTACGATACAAACAAAATGCCTAGCTAACTTAATATTGTGAAACAAATCAAAATAAATGAAAATTAAAAAAAATAATTAAAGCGATAACTTTTTAATGTGTTTAAATTGAAGAAAATTCTGGCAGTTTATAAAAATAATTTACAAACATATTTTTCTGTGACAAATAAATATTGTTTCAGCAGTTATTATACACGGTAGCTACTATATTACATCGCCTTCAGAACGAGAATAAATAATTGCCTTATTAGATATAAAAATTGTTTAATTTTTCAATTGATTACTATGTTTAAAATAACATTGATTTGATGAGTTTAATGCAATAAAATTAGGTTGATAAAAATTTAAATTACTGAAGGAAAGCTTGCATCATCAAACAGTTAGAGAATCCAAGCATTTTACACATCCACAGTGTGATTTATAATTCTACTATAAATAATTTAAATATATATGATTTAGTTTTGGGTTTCAGAGGTAAGTACTGTAACGAAGCGAATTTTTGTGGGCCGGAAACCGCTGATGCGTACCGCGAAAGCCGAGGGTAAATTCGCGATCGGCGCGCCGACGTGGCCCAGGAACAGGATTCTTGCTTGAAGCTTTAAAGGGTGAAGAAATGCTGTGGTTGTTTTTAAAAAAGTGAGTGTTGGAGTGCAGAACCCCCAGTTGAGACCGATCACCGTAAGTACCGTCTTGGGTTTTTTGCCTGTCGGCGTACCAATCTTTAGATCGCCGCCCCCGAGCGAAAAACCGCACCCCTGTCACCGTTTTTTTGTCAGAAGCCACAAGTCGAAACCGTCTTCGCGATTTCGAGGTTTCAAGGTCGCCACCCCCAAGTCTCAGCCCGTCCTGAAGGAAGTCGCCGCCCAGGAGGAACGACCGTGCAGGACGTCTTATTCTTTTTCTTTGTAAAAGCGTTTGTAATTATTGAATTTAAGATTAGCCGTAAGTTTTATTATCTTAGCCGTGTAGCTGGTGGCAGGGAATAAACCCGATTATTATTTAAAATACTCCCTGCCGTTTTACTTTATTCACGTATTTTCGCGGGCACTCACCACTTCAGATCCGTGTCTCCGGCTTGAGAGCAACCCTGGTGCTCCCTCCCACGTTATCGGCGAGATTCCGAACCGTCCCACCGGAATTTCGTCGCAGTACTTTGTACGTTGTTGGTTCTGTTCGAAACAGCAGGATTTTCTATATCTTGTGCAAAGATATGCTTAAATGTAGCGTCTGTTATCTTCGTGCGTTTGTCTGTTTCAAAATCCTGGTAGTTTGTTTCAACCAGCAGTTACAAATTTCTCACACAAAGGGTTTTTATAAATAATTCTAAGGGCGTACTTGGCCATGGATTTCAGAAATCGCTGAAATTATGCCTCACTGTGACAGTTCTCACGTGTTATTAATGGCATTTTCCACCTGTCAGTTAAAGTGATCGTTTTTATTGCTTTAACGTTTTTCAAGTGTGAATTACAGTATTTCTTGTTGATCTTGGTGCTTGCGTACGAAAATTTGTTTTTGTTCTAGGAAGCGAAGATCGTAAAAATGGTTTATTCTGTTGAATAAAATCATTGTCTTATTATCGCGTTACCGTAAATGGAGAGTGGGTGAATTCTGTAACCGCTTGCAAGCAAGAATATCTGGCCTCTAGAAATGTAATCAACAGATTTGTTCGAACTGGCAGTGTCGACAAAGAGAAATCTCCTGGAAGGCCTTCAGTATTAGAGGAAATTTTTGATGATTTGTGACGACTTGAGCAGAATCCGTAAACATCTTTGACAAGATTTCTTTAACAGTTAGGAGTTCCTGTTGCAACATGAAATTGAACAACTGGTTCAAAGTATTGACGAAAGGATGTTACAGAACATTTTTGAAATTAAAAAGAGAATAAACGTACCCCTTGAATACAATGGTGAACCTTTTAACACTTACTGTGATGTTTAATTCAATAAATTGTGTAAATTGTGGTGAGTCCTTAGGCTTTTTGTAAATTCCAAAAGTGAGCGGCGGCACCTTTCCATGACTTACTTCGATGCTATACATATCAAATTTGCATGGTGCTGTGTATAGGCAATTTATTTCCGAGCTTTGTTTCACCCACAATTGCAACAAAAACATCATATGGTAAGATCGATATAGGTTCGATGATTATTTCGTTGTTATTTTTTTAGTTTTTTGTCAGTTGGATAAGGAATTAATATCTAAAAATCCATATAGTTTGTTCTGCAACTTTCTCAACTGCATAGGCCAAAGTAGTAACGCGAATTACATTGGGATAAATAACTTTTAATTGTTGCCCAACTTTTGGCGATTGTTGACAGCAATAGCAAAATTTTATCCTTCGGAACTGAACGGAAATGAATGGCGATTCTAGCAATTCTTAAATCGTCAGTTTTTTTCCAATTTTTGGCGAATTATTACACTTATGATTTACTAGGCTCATCTTGAGGTAAACATCCGATTAACAAATAAATTTATAAATATAACGTTCACAAAAATTGGTACTTTCGTCTGCCACAAAACACATATAATAGATTCGGACAAATTATCTGAAATAATTATAAAATTGATTAAGTGATTAAGAAAATGAAAAATGCATACTGTCCTTCGTAATCACTGGAAATTTTTTTTTGTATTCTTTTTAACTGCGGCATCCAGAACACTATTTGAAGCAACTGTACTTCTAACTCTATTGTAGTCTTGCAACAGAGATAAGACACTTTTTAACCTCGTCATCTAAGCATTATTATTAAATTTTAATGGTACCGTGGGGACTGCAACAATCAAAACAATTCTTAAATTTAGTGTTATAAAAAAAGTTAAATATAAAATTATGCTAGATAGAACAGCTGTTACATAACGCAATATTTAATACGAGATACTAAATTGTTTGTTTTTGAATGTACTTATTGTGATGTAATCCATCAACTGTGAGTTTATCGCTAAAAGACTTTACTCTAACCCAGCATCCGCCTCTTAATATCTCCACATTAGTCAACATGAAATATTCGGTACTGGCGTTGTGTTTTATTTGTAGCTGTACAACTCTTCAGGTAAGTGCCAGAACAAATTTGCAACCAACAATTTTTTTTATTGCGGCGTTTCCACGTTTAGATTAATAAAAACCCTCTGGTTTATTTACCCAATGGATCAATTTTTGGATTACAATCAACAACCTTACATGGAAAAATATACTATGTTTTTGAAAAAGTACCATATGCGGCACCCCCAATTGGTAAATTACGATTTCAAGTAGGCGACATAAATCACAGAAAATTATTTTTACCTTAAAGTCGTTATTTTACAGAAACCGCAACCACCGCTAAGTTGGAACGGTACACTTAATTGTACTTACTTGGATGTGATGTGCTACCAACTCAATCCAGTCTCAGAACTAAAGCAATCAGAAGATTGTCTATACCTTAATATTTATACACCACAGGCACTTATTCGCCTAAGAAAGTCTCAATTAAGTATATAAATTTGTATTTTAGGTACCATCAGAAAATGCAATTATATCGCTTCCTGTCATGTTTTATATACACGGTGGAGGCTTTGTCGATGGTTACGGCGGTATGTATGGACCAGACTTTTTCATGCATGAAGACGTCATTTTGGTCACAATCAACTATCGCTTGGGACCTTTGGGTACCACCTAAGTGTAAAAACTAATACGTAACTACACACTCATTGTTTAGGGTTTTTATCAACACAAGACGGAGTAATTCCCGGGAACAATGGTCTAAAAGATCAACAATTATCCCTTCAATGGGTTCACAGACACATTAGTTTATTTGGAGGCGATCCTCACAAAGTAACTGTTTTTGGACACAGCGCAGGATCGGCCTCCGTTGGGTACCACCTTCTGAACCCAAAATCTCAAGGCTTGTTTTGGGCAGCCATATGTCAAAGCGGGTCTCCACTAGGTCCTTGGGCGTACCAACGTTGGCCAAGAAAAGCAGCTTTTAAACTAGCTTCAATTTTAAATAACACTGTTGTAACAAATAGTTCTGAAGATTTATTAAACTTCCTCCAAGGGGTAACAGGAGAAGAAATTTACGCAGCAGGCAAGATTTACAACAACTACGTTAGTGAGGGTTTTAATTGTGAATTTAAACTGATTAAAATTTAGATTTTTAATGGCAGTAGTGAAGATATTCCATCCTTGGAAGGTATGAATTGGGCACCAACGTTAGAAATAGACGGCAAAGATGCTTTTATATCCAAAAAAATGTACGGATTGATTGAGTCTGGGGAAGTGATAATAGTACCACTACTTATGGGATTTACTACTGAAGAAAACTTAAATTTTCATTTAGGTTAGTAGCTTGTTTTTGGTCGTTCTCATGATAGAAATTCTTCTGAAGCAGATAAGCAAGAAGTGAAAAAAACTATGCAGATGTATGACGATGATTTAGCAAACCTAGTACCGGTGGATATGGAAATTGAAGATATGTCTCTTCGTAAAGAAATGGGACGCTCAATAAGAAATATGTACACAGGGGGTGCTCCTTTTTCTAAACGCTTAGGAACGGGCATTAAAGTACCTCTTAAAATGTTCAGTGGTTTTATCTCAGATTTTGTAGTTTTCTAGTGACAACGACATGACTCGACCGATAATGAAGCAAGCAGAACTGCTTTCAAAGTATTCCAAAGTATATTTTTATGTTTTCTCGTTTCATAGTCGGTCTGGTATGTACCATGTTTCCTATGACGGTAATTTTTAAAAATGTGGTTATACATGTAAAATATAATGTTGCTTCAGGGGCCGAAAAAGTTGGGCACGGCGAAGAACTATTATATTTATTTTGTTTACGTATTTACGATAAGTGTGATTTTAGTGGACGTCCCAAGTCTGATCAAGTTACGCGAAAAAGACTTGTTAAAGTGTGGAGCGACTTTGCCAAATTTAGGTAATTGAGAAACTTAGGTGACTGTAAGTTTCTCATTTTTTTATTTTAGAAATCCGAGTCCTCAAATTTCTGATTTACTTCAAAATATTTCATGGCCTCAGTTAACAGTGAGAGAGGATACGTTTCCTTATGTAGATATAGGGGAAAATATAACTATCAAAAACTATCCGAACAAAGACCTCTACATTAAGTGGAATAAATTATATGATAGCTTTAATCGAGATGATTTGTTTACGTATTAAAAATATAAATATTGTGAGTAATTAAATTGATTAACGAAATATGTGTACTGGAAAATTACTTCTGAAAATTTTTCGAGATTTTTTTCATAGTCTACACTAGATTAGCGTAGTGTTTTGAAAACTTGTATCTTCATGACTTTGATAAACTCTTGATACTCACCAAAATAGATACTAGAGTTAATAAAACAAATAACATAAAGCTTGATGTGTTCACATGACAACAATAAACAATGTCCTAGTGTGTGTTTATAGAAACCAAGTTATAAATACTATCTCAAGAGGAAATATTCAACTGGTTTTATCTGAATGATAATCAGCTTATAAACAATTTCGTTACTTAAAGTCAGTGTTGGATTGAGGACATAGGGGTCCACCGAGAAATTTACAAAGATCCTGTGGTATTACACACAGATGTTGTTTGGGGACTATTATTACTATCATTATTTTCAGTTTTGTCGGATATATTGGCATTTGGAAAAAATGGTGTGGTTTTTGGAATTTTGATGACACTACCAAGAAAAATGAAACTAGTAAAAAAATTGTGGAAGGTTATTTTGACAAAACTTTCCTCGACCTTGAGTATAGTCCGACAAATTCCGATGCTCCTTTACCTGCATTTTAACAATCCATGCATACATTAATTTTAACTCATCTTAAAAAAATGTTAAAGTTAAATTTGATAACTTTTCGAGTATTTGTTTGGCTGTAGTTTAAGGGAACGAGAATTCTGTCGAAATCAGCTTCGACCAATTTTTTGACTTGTTTTAACGATTCTCATCGTCTTGCCGCACTTGCGATATGTAGAAACGACTTATTCAAATCATAATAACTTGGTGCACCCTTCGCTGTGAGAGTAGTGTCCATGAATAAGGGTTCAAAAATAAGTCGTAGTACACATAAATAATAACGCAAAATAAGCATAAAGTCCCCTTCTCCTTTACCTTTCAAAGTGGATCACGGTTTAAATTAAATTTTGAATACTAGAATTATTCACTACTTTAAATCGCAAATGAGAAATTATGAAACGCAAATAATAATTTGGGAAAAATAACACTGCACGCCAGAATAAAAATAGTTCAGCCTGAATAAATGAATTTATATTTTGTGTTATAAATTAACAGTTCCATATGTACCAAAAACTGGAGGCTTAATGTCACTAAAATACAGAAATGTGTTACAACAATATGGAAGAAAATTTACTCTTAGATAACATAAATAATTGCGGTTTTCTGTATTCAAAAACAAATAGTACAGACAATGTGTTTTAACGAAATCATTGCAAGTGTGGACGTGTTGATTCGGAAATAAATCTAAAATAAAAAAATATATAAAAATACCTACTGCTAAAACTTGATAAATTTTGATAAACATTTTTATGTAAATCACTCTGATCAAAAGGTTTCCTATCCTATAACTTGCTTGTCAGTTAGATTACATCAGAAAAAATTAGCCTCTTGAGATATTACACACAAGTTCGTTCCAACATATACGTATCAGTCACGTTCTTTAGTTTATTATATGAACATGGAAAAGTTTATCTTACTTGTTTTATTTACTGCAAGTCAAACGGGGGCTTTGGTAAGTAACGTCGTCATACAGCTTTTCTGTGCAAATTGTGCTAATGGTATTTATAATATCATAATTAAGTTCTCATTCCCGTAAAATGATAAATCTATACTTATAACCAGAGTTAGGCACAGTGATGAACAGTCGTTTTTAATTTTTAAAGCATTTTAACATCTAGAAGAACTCATATAACTGAGGAAAACCTAAAAAAAGTAGTCATTGTTATTAAGAATTCCCGAAGTTGTAGGCCACGACTGCAATAGCGCTGGCGATCGGAAGACGCCGAAGTCTGCATATAACTATCACCTTGATTACATATTTATAATCATATATATCTATTTTTTATTTTCTGAAATTCTACGATCTGTATATTTTGACTTCAAAAAGACGAAACTATTTTTACATTTGTTTATAAGTACCATACCAACATTTGTAGCTAGGGGCCCCCGAAGTCCAGTTGCCAAACGGACTTATTCGAGGTCGTGAAGATACGACAATTCAGAACAAACATTATTACGCTTTTGAAAAAATTCCATATGCCACCCCTCCACTTGGTGAACTACGCTTTAAAGCACCCATCCCACCTTCAAACTGGGAGGAACCTTTAGACACACTTGATTTAGACGTCACCTGCTATCAAGAAAGAACTAATGCTGATCCAGAGTCCGAAGACTGTCTTTATTTGGCCGTATTTACTCCAGAGGTAAAATATGTTTAAAAGAAATTAGTTTGCCGAGGTCATATTGACACGATTTGACAGCTTCCTGATGAAGACAACAACGTTTTGTTACCAGTAATGGTATTCATTCATGGAGGAGGATTTGTTGGAGGATCTGTTAGACACTTGTATGGCGACCGCATTATTAACGAAGACGTTATTTTTGCTACTTTCAATTACAGACTGGGTCCTTTTGGTAAACGAGAAATATTTTCAACAACTTAAACTAACGTATCTACTACAGGATTTATGTCAACACAAGACGAGGTAATTCCTGGTAATAATGGACTTAAAGATCAACAACTAGCATTAAAATGGATCCACAACAACATCCAACTTTTTGGAGGCGATCCTGACAAGATAACGATTTTTGGCCAAAGCGCTGGATCTGCTTCTTGTTCCTATCAGTTGCTGAACCAAGAATCAAATGGTTTGTTTAGAGGTGCTATCTTAGAAAGTGGTACTTTTTTGAGTCCTTGGACTTACCAGAGAAGAGCCAGAGAAATCGCGTTTGCAACATCTGCTTTCTTAAACGACACTTTTCAAACAAACCGCGACTCACAGGCGTTATTGGAGTTCCTCCAAAGCGTTGATGCAAAGGACTTAGATACTGCATCAGAGCTGTACGATTCTTCAGTAAGTTTTGATTAAAAGTACCATTTTTATTTCTGATCTGACGCCACTAGGAATGCAGTCCTGAGGATATTGAAATACTTCAAGGTTTTTACTGGGCCCCTGTGATAGAAGTAAAAAATCCTGATGCTTTTCTAACAAAGAAAATGTACGGGTTATTGCAAGCTGGCAATGTAGTAGCGGTCCCTGTTTTGATGGGGATGACATCTGAAGAAGGAATTTCCGGCAATCAAGGTAATTTGTTTTATTTAATTAGTGCCTCATTTTGTGAGTGTTTTTGTAGACCCAGATGCTTTTAAAGCGAATTTAGAAGCATATGACGAAAATTTGGACTGGCTGGTCCCTAATGATATGGCAGTAACTGATAAGACAAATAAAATGGAGATCGGTCGCCAAATCAGAGAAATATATACAGGAGGAGAACCTTTGGCGGATCATTTAGGTGATGGTATCAGAGTGAGTATTAAATTCATTTAGATGGTTACTATATCTTGATTGGTTTTAGTATTTCAGTGACACTTCCTTTACAAGACCCATTATAAAACATGCTGAATTCTATTCCCAGTTTGCTGAGACTTACTTTTATCAGTTTTCTTATGATGGAGAACTGGGTCACTACAGTGTTCATTATGAAGGGGCTGAAAATGTTGGACATGGTCAAGAACTGGCGTATTTCTTTTGTAGAGGCACAGATTGTGATATTACGAGTTACCCAGAATCCGATCAATTGACTGGAGAAAGACTAATCAAAATTTGGACCAATTTTGCCAAATACCAGTATGTTTACCTTATAATAAGTTAATTAAGTACTTAACAAACAAATTACATACGTTCATTATTTTTCAGAAACCCAACCCCTGAACCAATCGAGTTATTGCAAAATTTAACTTGGCCTGTGGTTTCCATAGAAGATGGCGACTTTTTGTACGTCGATATAAACGAAAATCTAGAAATAAAGAACCATCCCAAAGAAGAAACTTACAGTCAGTGGATTAAAATTTATGATAGTCTTGGATACAGCGATTTTGACACATATTAGTTGTTATTGTAAGCTTTGTAATAAAAGAGGTTATTTATTTAATAAGTTTTAATGATGGGAGAAATGTAGATTTGGTAAAAAAAGGGTAAATGAGAAATACTTTTAAACATTTTTGTTGCTCGTCGTTGAGTACGCTGAAGAAGTTCTATATCTTTCATCAGAAATGCGCACCAAACAACAACCGCTTATTCTAATAGTGGCCTGATGTGGGTTTTGTATAAAACAAGGAATGATTCCGTTGACAGATATTGAAAGGCTTTGGAAAGAAGGTATAAAGGAGAGTTGCATAATTTGAGCCACCTCCTAATTTGGACCCAAGTCATTTTAGTTAATTGGGAATATATGAGTGACATCTGTTGGTATAGAACGAAAGTTTTAGTTGTAAGTAACTCAACTACTGAATTATTAAAATTGAAGAATACTATCTTCATTATTTAAAAAAAAAAACGTAAAAATCTCGCTTCATGATGTTATAATTCTAGTTTGTTTTGTAAACTGATAACTTGTTCAGTATTTTAAGGTTTTTACTATAAAAGAAAGTTGTTAAGTAATGAGATAAAAAGTGGAGGTTAAATGGACAGAAAATTCGTAAAGATGCCTAATTTGAATCTGGTTTGGTATTTCAAATTGGACCGAATCACCACGTTTGGTTCTTGTGGTGTGTTCAATGTTAGAACGTAATATTTTCAGTATTAACAGATTTATTGTTATGAAATTTTAAATATAACTTGCCCATGACTTATAGGATAAAACACAATTATTGATTATCATATTTTTCTAAATTTTAGTGAAATTTAGGTCAACACCTTATTTAGGTATTTATGAAAATTTTTAGACGCGGCTTTCACTACTGTTTTCAGCTTACAAAACTATATATACCTATATATAACTGTTTCTTCTTCTCTTCACTGACAAAAATCGTCGACAATGTTTTCCCTAGGATTTATATAGATTTGTATACTGAAAACAGTGGTAAAAACCGCGTTTCAAAATTTCCGTAAAAAAGGAGACTTTTGATTTTTAAAAATGTGATGCAAAATTTTTACTAGAATTAAAAAAACAATAACTCTGTTAATAATAAAGATATTACATTCTGAAAATGTATTAAAAGTCCCACGAGCCAAAAGGTAGCCTTTTAAGTAATTGGAAATCTTGTTCATTTCCAGATACTAAAAGTATCTAGATACAGATATAGATATATCGAAGATAAAAGTATCTAGATATAGATTGTTTTCGATTTTTTCGAAATGTATCTAGATACAGACACAAGAAAACAGATACTTTTTGAAGCTTTGGCGAATAAAATAACTGAAAACATTTTTATGTGTTGTTTAACGAATTTTTTAAAATTAACAACATTTCGAACGTATTGTCACCTAAATTATTTCTTCTTGGTGTCAGAATTTGATTCCCGCTACTAAACACCCGTTCCACAGGTGCAGAAGAAGGGATTGTGGTATTAAATTTAAAAAATAAACATTTTACTGTAGCATAGTTATTCAAGACTGAAAAATCTTTTCTTTTGTCCTACAAATAGGCCATCGCTTCGTTCTTTGATGTGTCGCAAATTGTGCAATATTTATTACGTACGCTTAAAAAGAATATTTTTTTTGTTTTTATTCCCATACTACAGTGTCCAAATTGTGTTTGAGTATATCTAATAAATATCTCCAGCATTAAAATTAATATTTCGAAAGAATACCGGAAATGATTATTCTGTGCTGAAGGTCTGTTGTCGGCAACCTGTCATAAATTATTATTCTTCAATATCGGCTTACGATGTTTTTATGACCATGTCCGGTAATCGTCTATCCCGGTGCGGCAGGTATATACATTTTAGGAAGAATTGCTGGTTCCGTTTAAGGCAAAATAAGTACAATTTCTTAGAGAGGTATTTAAACCCCTTACAGGATCAAAGGCTGCCTGGCAGGCCGGAATCACGAGAGTGCAACTTTTTTTTTGAAACTCATTTTCTGAGAATATATCACGATAAAATATTCTACCGAGGGTTCTAAAAATATTAATTTTATTGCCCTAGATGTACACTTAAACATAATCGGCACATTCTAGGGCAAAACGGACCTGCCAAGCCCGCCTCGGGTTAGGTTCAACAATGAAAAAGTGAAGAAATGACACATGTGGCAACAGGAAAAGATGCTACATTTGTCTGAAAAATAAAGGTATCAAACAGTAACAAATATGCGATTTATGCGAGAGAAATGTATGTATTGAACATTCGACTAGTCGATTTCAGAACTAATTTGTGTTAATTGAAAAAATTAATCATTATGTAACACGCAATTATTATTTTCTAAAAATAATAACATACCTTAAACAAATATTTTTACTATTAAAATTACTCTTATTTAATAACACAAATACAACCAGCGGGCCTACCGGACCCGGGTTGCTCAGGTACACAGATAAAATGCATTGCCCCGATAAGTGTAAAACGCAGTGAATAGTGAATTGTGGTTTATGGTTTTTAAAATATCATCTTACCATGGCTTAGATTTATTACCCCTCAGGATTATATTTAAAGATGTATAAGTACTAAAAGGCTACAATGTAGGAAATGATGGTATTTAAAATATGAAAATTTCCGTGACAGAACACTATTAGTGAACCTCTTACCTCTATTTTTGTTTATGTGACCAAAATCACCAACATGAAGTATCAAAAATTACTACAAGTATAACTCAACTAATAGCTACTGAAAAAAAAGTGAAATAAAAAAATGTATCTAAATCTGCGTCATTAATTTTGTATCTAGATACAGATATTTTGTGCTTAAATTCGATTTTATCTAGATACAGATACTAGATACCCAAAAATGTATCTAGATACTGCCCAACACTGTTTATTTCCAGAATGCCTTGAAACGGCTGTTGAAGCTTATCGGTCTGGTGGGGAGAGACACTTAAAGCACGAAAATAAAGTAGACAATGGTCTCAAGAAATTCATGGGGCGATGTACTACGTTTACCAAAAATCTAGAAGAAAAATTAGCAAAATAAATTATCTTCTACAATTTGAAGAGAACTTGTATGGTTTAACCATTGCAGATGTCAGGAAGCTGGCTTTCGAATGGGCGGATAACAATAAAGTTCCCCACCGTTTTAAAAGCGAAAAAAAAATGGTTGGCAAAAAATGATTCTATGAATTTATGAAAAGGAATCCCAAACTATTCTTACGCCAGCCAGAGTTAACTTCGATTGCTCGGGCAAAAGGCGTTAATAAACAACGAGTCATGGAATGTTTTGATATTTTAGAGCAAGTTATGGATAAATATAAAATTACGTAGATGAATTAGGTTATAGTACGGTTCAAAAAAGAAAACAAAAAATCGTTGCCCAACGCGGTAAAAGACAGGTTGGGGGAATCACTAGTGGAGAGAGAGCAGTGCTTACTACGGCAGTGTGCTGCGTCAATGCAACAGGCCTTTACATTCCACCGATGATCATCAAGAAAGCGACAAGCTCCAGAACTAGGAATTGGAGTTCCTCCAAGTATTATTTGCGAAATTTCTGATAGTGGATATGTTCATTCTGAGCTTTTTGTTGTGTGGTTAAAACACTTTCATTCAATAGTTAAATCCTGTCCTGAGAAACTCGTCTTGCTTTTATTAGATGGACATTGTTCGCACGACAAAAATTTAGAGGCTTTGCAGTTTTGCAAAAAAAATAATATCCATTTGCTCCAGTTGCCAGGTCATACTACCCATCGACTTCAGTCTTTAGATGTGACTTTCTTTCAACCCTTGCAGAATTATTATGTGCAAACCAAGAATCATGGATGCGTGCTAAACCTGGAACTTCGTTCGTTATCTGTTTATAATGTGGCAGCATTGATAAGAGAAGCGTACGGTCGTGCAGCCACTGTTGGAACTGCAGCAGGAGCATTCAAGGGAGCAGGAATTTGGCTAGTAAACCGTCAAGACCATGACTTTGAACCATCTGCTGTAACGAAGCGACGAATTTTCGCGGCCGGAAACCGCGAAAATACATACCGCGAGAGCCGGGCGTAAATTCGCGATCGCCGCGACTCCGCGGCGAAAGACGAGGATTCTTACCTGAAGTCTTCGGTAGTGAGGAAGTGCTGTGGCTGTTTTCTGGGTGAAGAAGAGTTTTTTTTTAGAATTGTGCAGTTCGACCCTCCGACCACCGTAAGTACCTTTTGGGTCGCCTGCCTGTCTAAGTACCGGTTGTTGAATCGCCGCCCCCGAGCGAGAAACCGTGTCACCGTCACCAGGTTTTTTTGTCACCGTCAGAAGTCGAAACCGTCGTGCACGCGTTGTTACCGTCACCGCGCTCCCCCCCCCCCCCCCCGGTCGCCGTACCGTCTTCGGGCTATTTCCAGGTCTCCAGGTCGCCGCCCCCAGGTCCAGAAGGAACGACCGTGCCGAGCATTTAATTTAATTTTGTTTGTAAAACCGTTTTGTAGTTATTTAAATTGTTTAGCCGTAAGTTTTATTATTTTAGACGTGTAGCTGGTGGCAGGGAATAAACCCTATTTATTGTATAAAATATCCTTGCCGTTTTATTCATAATTCTCGTGTTTTCGCGGGCTCTCACGACCTGAATTCCGTGTCTCCGGCCTTAGAGCACCCCGCCGTTCCCTCCTCCGGAGAGGGAGCTGGCGCCCGAGCGACCGCCGCTCCTGACTGAAGGCGCCACCCACGACGGCGTGAAGGTCGCCGCATAAGCTTGGTCGGTCAGACGTGTTTCTGATACTAGTCAACTCAAAGCTTGGCACCCAAGTACGCCGCCACCCCACACGTTATCGGCGAGATTCACCGTCCCGTCCCTTCCGGAATTTCATCGCACTACTATTTTACAGTCTGACGCAGCAAAATCGCTCCTTACTTAGCTTACCCTTTACATCAACTAGTTACGTTAGAGATACTAGTATATTTCCTATTTTAACCTGATAGAAGTATTACATTCCCCATTTGATCATAGGGCCGCTACTACTCCAAGTCAACAACAAGGTTGCTCTTCACTTAGTTCACCCCTTCCATCAACTAGTTGTGCCAAAAATATGAGCGA